CCCTTGTTACTCCAAATTTGTGCCCGCGTATGCGTTTAAAGACGTTCGTTTATGCGCGTGAGGTCTAATTTCCAGTATAACCACAGTTCGCTGCACTGCAGTCATTGATAGGAACACTTTTCTTATCGAAATAACCATACGGGAACCTGTGCACTCCCGACTATATTCTTTCTGGGGAAACAGTTTGCAACAGCCTGGAAAATTTGCGGAATCACAATGAATCATCTTCTTTAAATAATGCTTTTTTGATGCTCATCTTCCTGTATATACAAACATATTATAAAGTGGGCGTTCCAAAACGTTTAAATAGAAGGAGGTAAAAATCTTTGGGAAGAAGCTACTTCATTGTCGAATTTTTTTAGAATCTTCCCTTAGGAATTCGTCAAATTATGGACGTTGTGCGAAAGTTTTCTCAGGTTAGTCAACCTCTGCACCAAAAAGCGTCGACCGAAGCCCCTCGTCCTGCGGGGATTGGCTGCGTTCGACTCAATTTGCCACCGAGAAATGTGTTTATGGCAGTTGCATCATGTAGCGGAAACGTCGGGGAGACATTCGTCTCAGCTCCAAAATAGTACAGTAGTTGGTCTGTGTCATAAAATATTGACCGAATTTCGAAGATTCTGAAATGCGTTTTCAGTAAGAAAAGTGCTTTATATTATAATGGTTGTTGTGCAGCTTAATCTCAATATGTTTCGGTCACACTAGAAGACTTGAACCTTTTTCTGGCTGTCTGCAAAAATTACATTAGAAAAGATGGCTACTTAATTAGTACAATTTCTAGAATTTGTTTTTGATGTGCTTGCAAATGAAGTCTATTTTTTTATTAAACCTGCACAAATTATTCCTTCTTATACGCATTTGGTAACGACGTGCGTCAGGTTCGACTCGTAATTTCAAGCAGACTACTCGCATACTCGTTGTGATCTTGAGAACTAGTACCGCATGCGTGGGTGCAATTTTTTCGTATCGTCCTAGCGTGTACCATGGAAAACTCCCTGCTTAGTGCAATCATCTCTTATGATAAACTGACGCCTCACATAAAATCATTACTGCTTGCCTTAAATAAGTCCCCACCGAGTTGATCAATGTCGGTGTGTGAATGTGGATTTGAGTACTCGGATCAAACATTTTTACGTACAGCCGGAATTTCATGTAATTGCCCCTCTCAAATTGCGCTAGCACTAATTGAATGGCAGCATAATTTTCATGATCGTACGGTTGGAGTGTAAATGGCTTGCAGGTTTCAAGTAATTTCAGGGTGTTTACAACTTTGGTATTTATGCAAATACCTGACATGGGACACGGCCCTGTACTGAGTTCTCTCATCTACCACATTTACAATTGTTAACCGAAATTCTAAAATGCGATTTCGATTACAACGGATCACTTAAACGGACTTGTCATATTAACTGTCAAATGACATAATTCTACGGTATTTCAGAGTTGCGGGACGTTGACTTTTGAATGTACTTCCTTCCGCCATCCTGCAAAAACCGCACTCAACAAAAATGGCTATTTAAGTAGTATGCGTTTTTCCCACTTATTTCCGATGCCCACAGTATCCACGCATCCATGAACACCGGCTGGTCATTAAGTAACGAGACCATCTATCTCAGATGTCCAAGCACGTATTAGCTATCAGGCATACATTTGCACGGGACAAGACATGTATCGTCTTGAAGCCGTGTACTTAGATAGTTCATGCATTATTCGGGATATTTTGGTAAACGCTATGTACACAAATCTCAAGGAAAAGTGAAAGAGATGAGAAAAAATTCGATGCGCAATAACATACGCGGTAGACGCTTACTTGAATAGTCGTAAGAGAGATATTGTTTCTTTAGCACGTTTGAAATTGTGACTGTTTTTATGCACTGACTTAAGTCTGACGACGATTCAGGGGACAGACGTCGAAAATTTATTAATAAAGTTCTTATTTTTCCACATAATGCACTATCTTTAAATTCAAGCACATTGTTTACAAAATATGCAAAAACATTTTCCATATATTCCTTTGGTAGAAAATTACGGTTTTTCAGATTTAAATTCAAAAAAGGTATAAAGTTTGGCTATCAAGTGTTTGCGCTTGTGAAACTTTTAAGACCGTGCAATGTCTGAACATACAGCACCATATATGTCCGCAATATAATCCACATCCATTGTGAAATTTTGCGAAATTTACGTAGCATTTTATTAATGTTATAGAAGAAAATATGACTATCTTACGCGGAAAGTATGCACCTCGCAAAGGGGAATCGTTAAACACTAATGCAACGGCTGATCTGGCTCAAATCAATCAACAATTGAAAAATGCTTTTAAAAAACCTCAAAGATGACATGGCTTGCTACTAAATTAGTAAAAAGCATGTTTTGAACATAGTTTTTAAAGCAATATATTTAGATATGCAAGGTTGTGTAAAATCAACGGGAAAATGCATGCCAATTAAGCAGACATTTTCACAGACTACAGGTTTTACTGCGGGTCAAGTGGAAGTTCATTCAAAAATCATCAACCTGGCGAGCTCGAACCATTGTGGGATTAGGCCACGCAGTAAGTAGTATTAGAACTCCACCTAAGTATTTCTTCCTAAACTAAAACCTACATCTGAATTTCGACAGTTACTTCATGAAATCGGTCACTAACGGAATATAAGCCACAAATAAATTGTTTTACGTCGGCCGCCATGTCACATTCGCCCCGACCCCATGCATGGTAGTCTAGAACATTAACCGCAAGAATTCAACATAAATATAAATTGCCCTCTAAAGTTGTGCCAAAGTGCTTTACTGGTCTTATTTATAGTGTACCAAAACAAAACGCTTTGTCATATCATTACAGTATTAAAAATTCGCCAACCATTTTGATGTTCTCTAGTCGGTAAACTAACATAAATGTGAAAAGTAGTAGACGACCCCTAGGTGTAAATATTTATTTAAAATGACGGATGACATATGGCGCATAAATACACCGGTGCCCATGATTAATGTTCAGGTAAATTCTAAAGCCCTTTAGAATATGGCGCGACGATCTCGAAATGATGAGGTCGGTGACGGCAATGTACATAAACACAGCCGAATTAGTGATTGAGCCTTTAAGTGAATGCAGTATAGACTGCTTATCATTGCAATAAGCAAAAAGTCGACCAGGAAGTTAAAAAAAATAGCTGAAGGCTGTCCTTTTTGGATCCCCATTCATGATTTCATATGCATAGTTAAGGATCTCTAAATTATGGGACATCTCTGGGGCAGCAAATTTGATGTATCAAGATTGTAAAAAACAGAATTGATTGAGATTGAACAGGCTGGAATGAGATTGTCAAATTGCTGCATAGAATTTGAAAGCAGTCACTCAGACGAGTGCTTTGTTTACTCTTTGATAGTTTACGCGTGGCAACATTTGCGGACTGTGAAATCACGGTCACCAGAATAAAAGATAAAGTGCCTGTCCTGAGTATTGGTCTTTTAAAACAATGTATTCTCCGGCACCTGATAAGTCAGAAATCCACCGGTCAAAACAGTGAGCCACCATCTTGCTGACTTGTTGACAACGACTTTTATGCCAGAAAAGGCCATTGCGCTCGATCTATGCTATAGTATTGAGCCTCGCTGTGGTGCTCGAGAGAGAACCCCAATTCACAACGAGACTATTGAGTTCCGTAATGCGGTCTGTGAGTTCCATAACCCATCGACCTTCAGATCCTATCGCTCCTGCCCACATTTAGTCATCGCATTGACCTAGTTAACCAAATGCGTCTTCATAAAGATTTGCCTTAACGCATCATTGCTCAAACCTCATAAACATAATTCATCCTACCAATACACACACCCTAGGAAAAACATGAACCCAACTTAAAATACCCGTAAACCCCTCAGATAAGGGAATACATGTTCTTTAACGTGCAGAAGCATCTCTTCCAGTACGTTATACTCTATCCTACCTCCATATATCTGACAATTTCGGGAAAGCGACCGTTTCATGAGAGAGGCAGGAGACTGAGAGAAAGTCACACAATGAGGAACTCAGACTGGAGTGCGCCCAGTCAATTCAACACAGGAATACTTCTGAAGCGTTGGAATCTACCATGAGGTGCTGAGAGGCACGAAGTGGAAGGCTGCCATTTGAGGGGAAAGTGCTGCCCCCATGGCATTGTCGCTCAGATAGAAACTGGCGGGCCAAACACTTACTGTTTCTGACAATCATGCGAGTACCAGACAGGTGTGACGTGCGCAGACGGGATGTTAAACTTTACCAACGCCTGCGCACGGTCGTGCCTGCGTTCAGGGAATGTGAGGGAGGATAGAGTGAGGTCGTATTTGACCGGGTGAATTAATCACAGTCAGTCTCTGTGGTTTTATACAATGCACATCCGTGTGACCATCACGAACAACGATATCTAACTACCATGCTAACTGCAGGGACGGTGAGTTGCATGTGAACTAGTTAATAGTGAAGTATGACGTCCGATATAATTATCGCCTCTCGCCTCCATCGCAGTCATGCTCCAGCTTTTAAGACAAAGTCAGGGAAACCGGAGGTGACTTTGGCTCCAATGTCTAAAAAAAGTAAACAGTCACTCTACGCGTGCCACAAATGCGCCGCCGTGAATTGTTGGGAGGTAAATAATACCCTATGTAGTTTGGTGGCAGTGATGATGACCGTGGTGCTACCTGACCTTGTCAGTAGTTCCGTAAGCTTGTCAACGGGTCTGAAAATTCCGGCAGTAAATACCTGACAGTTTTTCATCGCCATAATTTCTTTGGTAGTCCATTTTGCAACAAATCCTGGTACCTGAGTGATGCGGTCTAACGAACGAAATAACTACGTTATTGAAAACCGGATGGAATGTAAGTATTCGTCACATTCCGATTCACATAACACCTGGAAAACCTATTACTGAGATCATAAATTCGGAATTAACTGCATTCCACCTAAATAAGTCCATCAAAGGTGCCTGTAAGAAGATCAAAAAGGCGGAAAGGTGAGCTAAGAATTAATTTATTCAAATGGGGGGACTACATGGGCATGCGTATTCCTGCGCCTGTTCGACCTCCTCTGCGGCCTGTTCAGAGGTGATGGTCGCCCTGGCGGCGACCTCACCGGTCTCCTCTGCAGCCGCGACCTGTTCCTCCGTCGGCGACGACTTCGGTTTCTGGACCTTGGGATCCACAGCGGCTTCCACCTCGGCTTGCTGGATTGGCAGTTCGTCTGGAAAAATATGATTGGCTGAATGGTAAACTTGAGGTTGCATAGATAACATTTTTGGACTCATATTTAATATAAAACCTAAATCTTACCCATTGGGGGGGGGAGTTTATTGCATGCCCCTGAATACTGATAATTCGCGCACATGCATGAACAGATTTTCCCACGAATGTTGTGTCGATTTATTATTTAGGGCCATCTCCGTCTCGCTGCCGTTCTGAGTTAGTGGAACTGATCAGTACACATGATAAGGGTCAACTAGCGTTCATTGGAATTTGTTCAGCACGCGCTGGCATCATTCAGTCTAAACTGACCTCTCCACCAAGTTGTCCATGTGTGGGGTGTCTATCAGGATCAAGTAAAAATACGTCCAAAGCTGAAAGATATGATGGGCTGAAAAATAAATTTGAATCATTAAGCAGGCTGGCTTCGAAGAAGGAGCCGCATCCGCTGGAACTAGTGCATCAGACTCCTCCTCCGCACGGAGATCGAGTCGAGACGCCCATTTCCCGCTTTGCTTTGGAGGTGACAGTTGGGTGCTTGTGGTTAGTGAGTGTTGATGTGTGGTAGTGGTGGTGGTCCGGGTTACTAGCCAGACGTCCCAGATTCTCATCTGAATCCATCATCAGAAACAAAGTCAGGTTATTCTATTGGATTGCTAGGCTGCTAAATAGTTACCAAATTTGGCAGCTCCTGAGTGAATCACGTTGAGACCGTCGTCGTGGACTTGCTATGCCCCGCATGCCCGTCACAATTATCAGCTCCCACGTTAATCACATGCTGTCCAGATTCTAACTGTGGTAGGTATCATCACCCATGTAGGTTGTTGGGTCATTTGGCTCATCGACAGTGACAACAGAAACGGCGGTTTCAAAGTTAGCACAAGCCCCTAACCCTCCTCAACGGAGGCAGTTTATTTTATTTCCTGAGCTCTGATCATCAGTTTATGGGAACGAACAGAATTCCTTATAAATCGATTAAGTAGCTATTATTATCTGTGGCAAATGTGTTATCGTCAAGACTTAAAGTGTGTACAAAATGGCTCTCCGAGGGCATTCATAAGTCGCAACCAGAGGACTCGAAAGTCAACACCACTGACGATATCGCATTCTCTGCTATACATCAAGGGCGTTTTAGAAGCGACCGAGCGCCTTGCAACGGAGCTAGGTGTTGGAATTGCACACCGCCCCAAAGCCACCATGCGCAATAGTGTCATGAAAATCTGGAGTAGTGAATCGCATTCCGTGTCAAAATTGTCCTTGTATGTACACAGGCCAGACTGGGCGCATGCTCGGATCGCGCATGCACGAACATAAGTTGGCTGTGCGACGAAGCGACGCATTATCACAAGTGGCAGCCCACACCTACGAAATGGGTCACGAGTTTAACTTCGCAGCCACCAAAATAGTCGCCCACGCCGGAAACAAAATAGGTCGAATATTGAATGAAGACTGGGCCTAGAATGAGAACTCGGTCAATCCATTTATCGATCTGGTGGGGACGTACAGAGCTCAGTGTAGTCACGTCCAGTCTTGCGCCGTCGGTCGATGATTGGCCAACATGCCTTAAAACTGCCGTTTTTTCTGTTGCTGCTACTACCTCTGACGATGGACTCCTGTACGAGTCTGAAAGCTCAGGACAATAAACAAAGTGTTCCGGTGCTCGACTTTTCTTCTTCACTTATAACAAATATGTTATCGTCAAGACTTAAAGTGTGTTGTATCTACGACTAGGCATGGTCAGTGTGAGTATTTGTCAGCTTCCACCGGCACTCGCCAGTACCGCCAGTTCGAATTGCCAAATTTGTTGCCTCTGGTGCGTGTAGAACAGAACGAATTAGAATGTTTCTGACCTGCCCGAATGGGACTTCAGGTAACATTAAAAGATATATATATATATTAAAGGCCTTTCTACCCGCAGTCTCTGTGAACATCAAAACTCCGGGGAATTTGCAATTTCGAAAGATGCGTAAATCTTATCCAATGGAAATTAATTTAGTGTTTTTTCATAGCATAATATGGGATTGGACGCCAAGAGAGATCACAAATTATGTACAATAGCTTCCCTGTGTTTACACAATCAACGGAGAACGGAAACTCACCAGACATTTTGATGATTGTAACTGGGAAGGAGACTTGTTTTCAAAGATGCATCCACTGGCTTGGCTTCTTTATATCGGTCACATTGAGGTATGTTTACGGCGGCCGCAATGTCGTGATCATTCCAGCTACATGCTTGCTACTTAACAACATACCAACTAGATGGGTGATGGAATAATCAACGATAACGTCTAAAGCACTATCCGGTCCCCTGTTTGCAACTTTTATTCAAAAGTAGTCAGTGGATTCTGAGGAAGGTTGAATTTTCTGCCATTTGGCATACACGGTCCCGTCAACAGGTAAACAACCTGTGGGTCTGCATTGGGCGGGACAGTCTCACGGTAAACGCGATCCTGGTAGCCTTGTTTACACACGCTAATTCGTTGTAGTTGCAGTGTAATCGTCGTTCGCATTTTTGTAGGAATGGAGCAATAACTTGATGTTTCCAAATCGACACTTGTTTAAAACAGAAAATTCGGAACGCAAAGCTGCAATCTGCCCTGTATTTAACGCTACTAATTCAATTAAATGGTTGTGTCGCATTGCTTTCTCTGTAACTTCTATCGTGTCTTCATGTTCAAGATTTTGCCGTTGTGACTTAGTTGAAACCACAACCTCACCCAGGGGTCTCTCGACCAAGACGGCTTCAGCTATTTGATTTGGGACTCCAGTATATGGCCGCACGTACATATTCAGGGAACTATTACTTATTAGTCTTTTCGGCTGCAATGCATTCACAGGGGCTAAATATTCTGCATTAAATCAATCGGAATGCAGCATGTAAGCTGGAAATACCCAATCCAGAAGTATTGATCATTGATTGCAGGTCACTGTGTCGTGATATTTGAGGGTTGCGGATATGTGCCTGTCCTGACTTCTGCCCTATTATAACTTCAGATATTAATGATAGCAGCCGCCAGTTCGCGCAGACAGTACGGTGGTAATGAAAGCTGATTTATCAATGTCCCATTTGAAATAACATATTTTTGGTTGTAAATTGTCAGACAAGAGGTTCCCGCGTACATACTCAGGAAAACTAATACTAATTAGTTGTTTTGGCTGAAATGCATTCACGGGGGTTAAACGGACTTCATTATAAAAATAGGAATGCAGCATGGAAGCTGGAAATACCCAATCCATTGTCCCCTATTTTGGTCGGAAGTTCATCTTGATCATTGATCAATCGAGGGTTGTGGATTTGTAGTCCATCCTGACTTCTACTCTCTTATTACTTCATATTTTTATGACATCAAGTGCCAGTTTTCGCAGCGAGTACAGTGGTAAAGCAAGCTGATTTATCATTGGTTCATTTTATATAGCATCTTATCGGTTGTAAATTGTCAAACATGGGGTTTCCGAATGCTGATCTCCGTGCAAAGCCTCCGATGGTTTTTAATTGAAGCAGTTACGTCCAACATGACGCATAGAATAGTGCCAACCAAATACGAAGAACTCGTAAACAAAATTACCTACTTAATCATCGTCAAGCTTCAAAATATATTGACCTGTGCTTATGCTGCATCAGATTTAGCGGATATCTTGCATATTTTCATGCCTCTCTATTTCCTGTCATGATGAAAAGCTGGCTATCTATTATTTAGATTTTTGTTCTGATGAGTTAAAGTCATACTGTTTTCGCCGTCAGCGGAAATCCCTCTTATTTCACATTCTTCTGCCATGTTATTTTAAGAGGTGTAACACTGTAGTTTAGATGTATGATTACCTAATCATGTACTTTGACACCGTCTGCAAAAGTCCAACTGAGTCTTCTCAAACTTCAAGTGCTCGAACTTTTTTAAACAGGTTGGTACGCCTGCCACAACCGCTTACATAAATTTGGACAATTTTCTGTCTACTGTAACTGGAAGTGAAACATTCGTAAATTATACTACTAAAAACGGTTTAATTTAAAAATTTCGCGAAAATCGGCGCATTAAATGCACTGAAGGTACAGTGCGTGACCGATCTCATAAACTGTTGACCGAAACTCAGAAGTGTGTTTTTGGAGATGGTGGATTACCTAGGTAAGATTGTAATATTGGTTAGCATGCGACATAGTTCTATGGCATTTCGAAATTGCTGGGATGTTGGATTTTGACCGCATTTTCCTGTCAAAACCACACTCAGCAATAAGTGGCTACTTAAGCAGCATGTATTATTTACATTGATTTTAGCTGGTCTAATAAATTCAAATATTTTTGACAGAAAACAGGCACAAAATAAGCTTTCTTTTACAGGTTTGGTAGAAAATCACATTTTCTTACACTTTATACTCGGAGGAAGATTGTGTTTCGGTTTCAAAAAGTTTAGTATTTTAAATTTTTAAGACTATGCGATTCCTTTCATGCAGCATTGCACACGTCGTTTTACCGATGCTCCTCATGAAACGCGCGGCAAAGTCCGCATCCATTACAATATTTCATGAACTCCACGTTGTATCTTTTCGAAAACATAGAGAAACATATGATTATTCTTACGGGGGAAGCATGTACTTAGTAGAATTAAATTTGCCAAACGTTAATGCAACGGTTGATCTGGCTCAAAATTATTCGGCAATTGGGAAACTTTTTCGAAACCTATATAAGGGTTTTTCGGGTAAAAAATGCAAAGACGACGTGATTTTTTACCAAACCTGTAAAAGAAAACATATTAAGTGTGCGCGTTTTCTATAATACACGTCTGAATTTATCAGATTACCGAAAATAAATATGAACAGTGCATGCTATTTAGTAGCCATTTTTACCGGGTGTAATTTCTGCTCGAGTTGGAAAAGAAGTGCATTCAAAAGCCGACATCCTGGCAAGTCCTAGATACTATAGGATTTTGCGGCAAAATAATCAGTATTGCAACCCCGCCTAAGTAATCCGTCCTTGTCGAAATTGCATTTCGGAATTTTGGCCACGATTTCACGAGATCGGTCAAGCACTGCATTAAGCTTTCGCCCAAAATATAAACATTCTCGAATGCCTGATTCGCATTATAATTATGTCAGATGCTAAGTGCTGGCCGAAACCTAATTCAGCAGTCCGTAATAATCGTGAGCTAGTCTTACAACATCGGGAATTTTTTAAAACCAAGCAGTTGAAGTGTTGAAGATGTGTGCCCACTAGACACCTAACTCGGATTCAGACGTCGAATGTGTCAGCAATTTTAACCGAAATATTGACAGTTCGTGACCAACCATGCCCGCCGTGTGCTCCACAGCATGGTACAAACAGGCACGGTGTAAGTTAGTTTTTTGTGACAGTCAACTTGCGCGGCATCTACTGCACTCGCTCTCCTACCACAACTGGACGCGGTGTCGAGAAGACCGAACGCAAGACAGCATTGCGGCGGATGGCACAGCAAATGAACTAGCACCCGGGCATACCACCACCCTTGATGATGGATACCAGACAAGATACGACTGTAGCAATATTCTTCGTCTCGCGTAGACAGGTATTTTCGGATTCACTCATTATGATCCTCTTGACTGCTTAGAGACGAGGACGATTTGCCACGGTTTCCTAGAAGAACTTTAACCCATTATTTGCTCAGATGGGCTGCTTATGTAAATGTAATCATTCAGGAAGGGCAAGTTTTTAAGCACGTCCGCCCCAGTTATTAAAAGTGGTATTAAAGGTTCAAGAAAGAACCTCCCGAAATGTTGTGCGACGTTACGTATAGTGGGGGCAGGGTGCCCATTTCGTGCCCCAAGTATTAACCAGGAATATCTTCTGCTTCGTTGAACGTTGGGCTGCATATTCGTTCTTGCGTCTGCAATAGAACTATCCGCGTGATTTTCTTGCGACATTTCTTAGCGTATAGCTCGCTTATTGCATCTCACTTTCGCGAATCATATCATTTTTTTATTTGCATACACATCACGTGACCTGCTTCATGAAACTTGGTGGTGGAAACTGAGACGAGATTTTTTAGACGATTTAAACATTGCGCGTTCTGATCACAACCGCTTTTGGTAAGTGCTCCCGGCCTAACTATCGTAAAACCAAGAGAGCCCCTAAGGCACAACGGGACGAGTGAGTTCCGTATCACAATCAGTGAGCGCCCTCCTACCATCGTATAATCCAAACCGTAATCGACAGGACAACGACCCCGTGGCCCAGTGGTTAGGGACGTTGGACTACTGGCTAACAGGTCGCGGGATTGAGCTCCAGGTTGTCCACACTTCCTGGTTGGTTACGACTTGCTGATGACGGTTAATTAGCCAGAAATGGCCATTCCAGTATCCCTTGTCTTTGTCGGTAATAACATACCGCCTATATCATGTGCCGGCAGTTGGTTGGGCTCGAGGGAGATAGTCCTAAGGCACAACGGGACGAGTGAGTTTCATAAAACCGATCCGTGATTACCTATCTACCAGTGTCATTGAGTTCCACGAGGACAACGGCAGTCGAACTGTCGGTGAAATGTGAACACACACTTCTCAGCAGATGAGACGCAATCTGAGATTTTCGTTTCGTCCGACGAGCGCTGATGAATATGATAGTCGATGCACTCGTTATAACGCGGACATCCCTCTTTCGGCCGAGTATTTTGAAGCGTCTACAACCCTACTGGCCGCCTCAGTCGACTAGATGATGTAGGCGAGTCTGAAATGCGAGAATTTTCCCACTGAAACAGTTTACATGGCAAAACTGGCCGTCCCATTGGCCAGTCGATTTCTGTCACTAAGAATTAAAAGTGCGATGAAACCTTTTATTCAATCACAAACTGTTTAGATACTTCTGCGAATGCCAAGGACAATTACCATTTCAACCCCTGCATTGGCGTCAGAAGTGTTAATTATGTACCTGATTTAAAACTTCCCATAACACCGTGAGTACTTACAGGAAGACATCATATCGTTCCTATATTACTAGAGTTCTCTAGAAGTCCAGGCGGGACTACAGAAATGACCAAGGGAGTCGTGGAACCAAATGGGAGAAAATAGGCTTCTTCTTCCATGTAAAATCGTGACGGAACCTAAACTAAGCCCTGCTTCCCGTCTAATCGCTTGAGCCAATGCAAGCCTTAGATAACTGGGATTATTAAAAACACATTGCACATTACAATTCAGTCGGCGTTTGCTAAACTGCTTCTCAACAAGATGGGAGGTTCTTAAGGTAATTGAGTTCATGTCGAATATTCCTGACAAAATACTTTTCAGTGAAATGGAGAAGGATGAAGAGATAAGCTAAAGCATTATTTATTCAAAGGGGGGACTACACGGGCGGGCCTATTCCTGCGCCTGTTCGACCTCCTCTGTGGCCTGCTCAGAGGTGATGGTCGCTTTGGCGGCGACCTCGGTGGTCTCCTCGACAGCCGCGTCCTGTTCCTCCTCCGCCGACTTTGACTTCTGGACCTTGGGATCCACAGCGGCGTCTACCTCGGCCTGCTGGATGGGCAGTTCGTCTGAAGAAAATATGATTGGCTGAGTTGTAAACGTGAGGCTGCATAGAGAACATTTTTTTACGTTATAGTTAATTTAAACCTCAAAACGTCCCCACTGATGGGACGTTTATTTTATGCCTCTGAATACTGATCATTCGCGCACATGAATGACCAGATTTTCTCTCGAATGTTGTGTCGGTTTATTATTTAGCGACATCTCAGTCTCGCTGTCGTTCAGAGTCAGTGGGACTGATCAGTAGACAGGATCAGTTTTAACCAGTTTTCACTGGTATTTGTTCAACACGTGCTGGCAACATTCAGTCCAAACTGTTCTTCCTATCACGTTTCAGAATTTAGGGTTGCTATCTGGATAGAGTGAGAATCTGCCGAAAGCTGAATTGCATATTTGCATGTATGGTTTTTGCGAACAGGGAAATGTCGTGGACATGTTAACATCGACAGACGCATACACACACTTCAGTTGCGACAATTTATGTGGGAATTTTTGATCATCAAACGGGACTCGACGCAGAGTCGAAACTTACCGGACATGTTGATGGTGCTTTTTGCCAAGGAAACTGATGCTCAGAAATCTATCCGCCTGCGTTTCGTATTTATATTGTTGGCATGGAAGTTGGTTTACGTCGATCGCAAGGTCATATTTGGTCCGCACCTGTGAATGGTAGTAAACAGTTTAACAAATGGAGGATACTGGGTGGTCGAGGAATCGGTAGAATGTCGAACGAACTAAATCGCGCTTGGTGTCGGGGTTTTTAAAAGTAGTAATTGGCTACAAAATTTGAAGCGTTTTGTTGGCATGGCGCATTTTAAACACTCGCCCACCCTCTTCCGATAAATATCATTTTCTCATTCAGAAAATCTGTTTAAGCATATTTATTAGGAAAACTGTCCATGACTTGAGCGAGCATAGACGTTGCGGTATAT